CTCTTTTTACTTGTAATATAAAAATTTCTAAAATAAATATATTTTTTGATTGTTCTTCGTATTTTCTGTCTTTTTTTAGTGCCTTATTTTGCTTTTTTTGGCAATACCTTTTTTTTGCCTTTTCCTGCCTTTTTCGCTATTTTGTTTTGCCTTTTTTTGCCTTTTTTGCAATACCTAGTGCCTTTTCCTGCCTTTTTCGCTATTTTATTTTGCCTTTTCCAGCCTATTTCGTTACTTTATTTTGCCTTTTTATAGGTTTTTAGGTCCTAAAAATCCGTTCCCTGCTCATAACGTTCCTAGCACACATAAAACACAAACTAGATAGAGGAGACCAAATAAAAGCAACTTCAAAACATTGTTGAAGTGAAAATCGAGAAGTGGAACTAACAAGGCCATTAACATATATAATTTAAATAAATAACATAATTTTACTAATTGGTTTTTGTTATTTTATGGCCTTAAACAATTATATTCAACAATTTTTATTGAGCTTGAGGTCGTTTTTTAATGAAAACTAATTGTGGAAAAGCAAAAATAATATATAGAAATGGTAGAAGTGATAGCTACTTCGGAAATCACCACATTTCCTCATCAGACTTCTTTCAGTAAGATTCGAACCGACGATCCCACTGACTCAGCCAGTCGCCTACGCACTGTGCTAAGTTCGCCTTGTTAATTCTTGTTGCTTATTTCCACTATTTCACTTGATCATGTGGTTGTTGGTTTTTGTTAATATTTGTATTATTAGAGTGTTTAACTTTTAGGTGTGCTCGTACTTAAGTTATTTGTTTTTGTTATTTTATGGCCTTATAACAATTATATTATAAACTAATTGTGGAAAACCCACAATAATTTGAAAAAATTATCAAATCAAATTATTGTTGCTTTTCCACAATTAGTTTTCATTAAAAAACGGCCTCAAGCTCAATAAAAATTGTTGAATATAATAAATTGAATAATAGTGTTTTCGTTTCTCCATAAAATTCTGCCCTGATGCTGTCACTTTAAAATGCTGTGTTCTTTTGTAAAATGAATGCAATCTTTGCAGAGGGCAGAGCTATCTTTTCTCACAGGGTTACTCTAAAAATATGGGAAAATGCAACATATTTCGCCCTCTCTGCTAACGACGGGGGAGATAATTGCCCTTTCAATCAGCTGATCAATAATAACATCACATAAAAATAGTACCTTATTTGTCTTTTTTTAGCACTCATATATCGGCAGTGTCACAGCAGCACAGATAAAGTCTGCACATTTTTGACATTTTATTTTGGCGCTCGTGAATTGAAAACGCAAACTTTGTGCTTAGGCATCAAATTATTAAAATATTGTAGCTGCCCGGGATCTGTGTACATTTTAATAACCTAAATCAGGAAAATAGATTGTATTTTGTTGTTGTTGTGTATATGTTTCCCAGAAAGTGGACTTTACATATTTGTAGTAACTTACACAGAAATTCATGGTGTCACAGGTGGAAGAGAATTGTTGGCGAAAATGGAAAAACGCTGCTTGTTTGTAGGAACAAAAGTAATAAATGACTCGGCGTGCTTTTACATCCAAAAGTGAACTGCTTACGTGTAAAGGACTTTATAGATGAAGTAGTCAACTTGTACACAGGTACGGTACAACTTGTACACAGGTACGCGAGGTATTTTTTTCATACGGGCACGGATTAGTATTTCGCTCACCAAGCTTCAGAGAAGCATACTATCTTTGTGAAGTTTGGTTTACGCTTTATCCAGTGGGTGCAGCTTCATGAAGAACGCCCATGCATTTCCCCTTACCGCTCTCAAATTAGTGGGCAAAATACTAAACACTCCTTTCATTCGTTTATATACTGTATATTTTTATATTTATGCATTTGTAGTAGGGCTGTGCGATTATTCGATTACTCGAGCAAGTTGGTTAATCAATTATTCGGTTAATCAATTACTCGAGTAATCAAGATTTTGATTACTCAAAACGATGCAACTTACGTCGAGCGCACATTTAGTACATTCAAGGCTTTTCTTCGCGAAAATCTAATGAAAATGCTGCCAGAAAACTTCAAAGTGCATCTTGTAGTTCAACGTTACTTAGAAACTCGAAAGGATAAAATAGTCAAAGAGTCAAAGTAAAAATTTTAAATATGGAACGTTTGAAACGTTCTTATTATCAGGAATAAGGGCGTTTCCTCGCGCTTTACAATTTTATACACACCCCTTATTGTCTTCAAGCCTACGTTAGCTGAGAAAACGGCTTTGAATTTTTCCAACACCAATTTGGCAAGTGGTCCCTGCGCATCTATAAGCCGCATGGGCATGTGTATATATTTTAATCTTAAAAAAAAAAATTGTAAATGCTATAATCACTTTTTTAAAGGTAGAATAGGCAGAAAAAGGCAAATATCTTACAAAAGGCAAAAAAAGGCAAATATCGTAATAAAGGCAAAAAAGGCAACATCATATGTATACATGGAATCAGGGAAAGCTAAATCGTGGACATTTTTAATCGAATATACTCTATCTCTTTAGCAGAAAAAAAGGCAATTTCCATAAAATCCGTCCCTGGTTATGAGTAATGAAAACAGTCTAGCCATGTTAACTGTTCTCTGTACTAAGCAAAAACGCTCTAACATTGTTCACTTTAATGCACGTAGCCTTAATAGTACCAAAATTGATTTTGTTAGACATGTTTTTGAATGTTCATCCGTTGATGTTGTGTGTGCTTCTGAAACATGGTTTCTAAAAGATGTAAGTGATGCATGCTACGGCTTAAAGAATTATAAGCTCAAAAGAAATGACAGACTAGGAAAAAGAGGTGGAGGTGTGGCCATTTATTGTAAAAATAGCATAAACTCTAAGGTTCTGTATACGTATAGTGAAAATGGCCCAGATTATATTTTAATTGAATTGAACCATGACCTTATATTCTGTGTTGTTGATATTGTTTTGACTCTTCTAATATAACAAATAAATTTTTATTTAGGGATTACAAATNTTGTATACGTATAGTGAAAATGGCCCAGATTATATTTTAATTGAATTGAACCATGACCTTATATTCTGTGTTGTTGATATTGTTTTTGACTCTTCTAATATAACAAATAAATTTTTATTTAGGGATTACAAATCCTTGAAAACTGACTCGCTGTTCTTGCATCTGTCATATATTAACTGGTGCGATTGTTGGAATCTTGTGACCCTTAGTGACCAACTCAGTTTTCTCAATAGTTTACTAAATGCCTTCAATTATTTCGTCCCTATCCGTGAGTGTAAACCTAAAATGTCCTGCCTTTGGTTCAATCGTAAGGTTCAGTCAGCTATTAAAAATAAAAATAAACTGCATTCTATTTGGAAAAGGTATCCCACCCAAACTAACTGGGAAGCTTTTAAGCGTTCGCGGAATAACTCCACACTGGTTGTCAGGAAGGAAAAGCAAAAATATTTTGCTTCGAAACTAGACCCTACTCTCCCTGCATCAGTTCTGTGGCGTAATATCAAGAATTTACGCATCCATGCTCGTAATACCTCTGAATGCAATCTAAATGTGAATGAACTAAATAAAGCCTTTCTGAAGTGTCCTGATTCTGGTGTTCCCTCAAGTACTTTTATACCCATGAAATCCTCAAGATATACAGGTGCTTCTTTTGAATTTCTACCAGTCTCCGAACGTGATGTGTGTGTGTCTTAAATATAAAATCAGAAGCAATAGGAGAGGATGGTCTCCCCATAAAATTCATTAAAATTGCAATGCCTTACATTGTTGGAACTCTTACGCATATAATTAACCATAGCATCACGACTTCATGCTTTCCGAAAGAGATGTGCATCTGTACGACCGGTGCACACTGGGGCCGCCCCATATAAGTGGGTGCTCAAAATTCTGAAATAATTTTCTTTCCATTAGACTTGCTTGAACNATCTGTACGACCGGTGCACACTGGGGCCGCCCCATATAAGCGGGTGCTCAAAATTCTGAAATAATTTTCTTTCCATTAGACTTGCTTGAACTACATTTTAAGAGTACATTTTTGACGTCTTAATCCATTATTGATCGTGCATTAACCCACTGCTGACCCGGTTTTTTGTAATAACTTATGTTAAGTTAATTTGATTTTATTATTGTGCAAATCAGTGTACGAAAATAAACTATATTGTACGTTACTATTTCGTTTCGTTTATTACTTCAACAGTTCGGTACAATACAAAACAAAACGGCTGAGTTCACTTTGGCGATAGTACACTACAGTAGTTTAGTAGTTACAGACGAAACAACAAACGAAATGAATCGTGCAGGGAAAATATATGTATGTATGTACATAAATGCAATAACTAAATACAAANCGAATAAAAAAAATAAAAATATTTTTTAATTGAATTGGATATGCAAATTTATAGAAACAATTATTTTTCACGTAATTGAAACGTTTGCATACATATAAAACGTACCCTATGGCACAATTGTCACAAACGAAAAGCAAACGTTTCTCGTTGGGGAAAATGACAGTGAATCTTACAATTTGTTTCTGACTATGTACAAAACTGTACAAAACCACAAATGATATGATGATCGATGAGCAAATGGGAATTGTTTTGTACAGTTTATTTTCGTACCCTGGTGCAAATTATGAATAATTTACCCATCTACGACTTTGACTTAACGCATTGATGACCATATTTTAACCCATTAGTGGCAAATTTTGTATAGAGTATTTCCCCAGCTAATTCTATTAACAATAGAATAGTTAAGGTTACTATATAATCAGAAAGAACGAGTCCTTTCGATTTGAGGATAGCTTTATCAATGAATTCGCAATNCAAATTATGAATAATTTACCCATCTACGACTTTGACTTAACGCATTGATGACCATATTTTAACCCATTAGTGGCAAATTTTGTATAGAGTATTTCCCCAGCTAATTCTATTAACAATAGAATAGTTAAGGTTACTATATAATCAGAAAGAACGAGTCCTTTCGATTTGAGGATAGCTTTATCAATGAATTCGCAATAATTAAAACTAAGTTAAAAGCGATAAAATGTAATATCAGTAACAAAGTGTCCATTTTTTGTAATCACTAGGAAAGAGCATGATAGAGATCAGTTAGATAGTAAAAGATAGGAAATACTAGATACAAAAATTTACGTTTCAATGTAAAACATAATGGGATAAATGCACGGTCAAAACAAAGTCGAAAGTAAAAATAATTTCAGCTCTCTGAAAACACTTTTTTAGAAAAATTTGTCAAAAAAGTCGAAAAAATTTTTAGTTTCGTCTTTGATTCGACCATGAATATGCCCCATTATGTTTTAAATTTAAAGAGACTTACAACTTAAGCTTACAAAATATCGAAAAGTAAGTAATGTATCTAACTGAAAACATTAATTGATTAAAAAATCAGCTATATCTTTATAAAAAAATAATAATTAAAATAAAATAAAAACAAGTAATTGTAAGCAAAAATCAAAACCGACTTCAATTCTCATATAAAAGTTTAAGATTATCGTTAATTTCTTCATGATGCAATTATCGGATCTAAAGGATTAGTATGGGACCACCCTTGAAGCACCACCTTTCCGATGAAAAAAGAATTATCGAAATCGGTTAACGTGGCGCAAAGTTATGCGGTAAAATACATAAAAAAAAAACAGAAAAAAAAATTCCGACGAACTGATACCCTCCTCCTGTTTTTGAAGTCGGTTAATAAAATAAATAGTCAAAACTTTTCAATATGTCGCTCTCGTATAGTTATGCTTTGCGCATTTTAAAAAAAGTGATTTTGAAAATTAAACTTGAAAAAACAGAGGTTAGTTTATTTTTTTTGTCATAAAATTTTTAAGTTCATAATTTCAAACAAAATACACCAAAAGAATAAATAAACTTCATTTTAAGTAATGGAAAAAAACAAAATAACGAAATATAATACCGTTTTCTGACAGTAACAATTTGAATTGCACATTTTAATTTCCCAGTTTTGAAAAAAAAGTTTTTTGTTCAAATTTGTCAAGTTTGGACACGCATATCTCCCAGCCGAAAAATGATAGAAAGGTGAAAACCTACCCCCAAATGTAGAATGTGGTGAAAAATCCTTCTGCACATACTCCAAGTGACTTCCGGCCTATTAGCCTTTTGCCCTCACTCTCAAAGGTTTTTGAAGCTTTGTTAGCAGAACAAATAAATGATCACGTCATTAAACACAACCTAATCTCCCCTCTGTAATCTGGATTTAGAGCAAAGCATAGCTGCACAACAGCAATGCTAAAAATAATTGACGATATACGAATACCATTTGACCAAAATCAATTAACATTACTTTGCCTACTTGACTTCTCGAAGGCGTTTGATTCTGTGAGCTATGATATACTGTGTACTAAGCTTAAAGAGTACTTCGGATTCGGGAAAAACTCCGTGAGGCTTATCGAGACCAACCTAACTGGCAGACCTCAGTGTGTTAAAGTCGGTAAAAATATCTCAAGACTTGACACGATTTCCTCAGGTGTTCCACAAAGTTCAGTCTTAGGACCTCTTTTATTCAGTTTTTTCGTAAACGATGTTTTCCTCACGTGCCAATTTGTAAATTTGTGCATGCCTATGCGGATGCTATACAGTTATATCTATCGAGTAACTTTGAAAAAGTAAGACATGTTAGTTCAAATGTATAATCGAGACTCGTCTTCTATTGAGCGGTGGTCGAAGAACAATGGTCTTCTCCTGAACTCTAAAAAATCGTACGTATTACCCATCGCAAAGCGGAAACTTAGTGGCACTACTATACCCCATTTAGTTTTCGGTAATAAACCATTGCAATTTGTAAGCAAAATTACTAATTTGGGCTTTGTCGTTAACTCAAGTTTGACCTGC